AACTTGTCCTTGGTCAGCCCCTCCGGGTCCCCGGGGAATTCTTGCCTGAGAGCCCACCCCCGTGCTTCGCTCCCTCTGTGCTGTCTCTCCGTCCCCCAAGAGACTCGTTTTCTCTTCCTGGCCCAGTGCACCATTGTGTGCCTGACACCTTTGTTCCGAGGTCGTTGGACTCTTCGCAGTTTGTTTTTGTCAGGCATGACGCTCATAGGCCTCCGCTGCGTCCACTGTATGACGGCCCCTTTCGGGTTATTCAACCGGGCCGGAAGCATTTCCTTTTGGATTTTGGGGGTCGGCAGGAGGCTGTTTCTATTGACAGACTTAAACCAGCACATGTGCTTCTGGATAATCAGGTGGTGCCAGCTCAGGCCCCCCACCTGGACAACTGAACAACCCTGCTTCCTCTGGGAGCGCCCCCCACCTGGCGGGCCCGAGCTATCTTCAGTTTTTCCTGACCGCCCATGCCAGCCTGGCCCTCAGGCTCGTTTCCCCTCCGCCAGCTCTCCACCTCCCCGGTTCAGCCGTTCTGGACGTTTAATTAAAGCAAGGGTTCTGGACTAGGGGATGACCCTACTGGGTGTTCGGGGGGGGCATGTGTGGTGGACCACTGGAGGGCTCCACTCACACCCAGTTCTCAGGAAGTGTTGTTGCTGTGTTTTGGAGGGAAAAGTATTCAGTTGTGTGGTGATGAGTGATAAACAAGCAGTGTTAATCGAGAGCTCTCGTGTCGTCTGTGTTTACCTCCACACTGTATTCTAAATACCACCTTTTTAAACGGTACATGCAACGGAATACAGTTACTCATATTTTGTATTTTAAATACATAACGGCAGTACATGTATTCCGTTACTTCCCAACACTGTGTCTCTCTATATACTGGACTGTAGCGGAGATGACAATAAAGTTTTGTTTGAGTTCAGCAGCGAGCAGGCGCACCGAGGAAAAACATCGGTGCAAATTATAAGTCTGTATCATAATGTCTGCTGTTTCCGTGTTTGTTGTTTTGTTTTTATTTTGTTTTATTTTGCGAGTTGGTTATTAGATGCTGCTCCAGCCAGCCAGAGAATCCCCCGCCGCCCCGCCCCTCTCCTCCCTGTGCCGCAAGCATATAAGCTGTGGGGCATGGCCACATATCCACATCCACAACTCCACAACTGGGGGGGGAGGGGGGAGGTGTCATATGGACTATGTAATGGAGTAATATTATTTATTAGTGATTGAAGAACACAGAAAAAGAACAACCATAGGTTTCTCTTCAGCACTGTAGCCAGGATGACAAAAGGTTTGAGCTCTGTTGAACCAACCTTTAACCTTAACTAATAATGAGTTCATGAAAAAATTACCCATAACCATCTCACAGACGTAACACTGTGTACAGCTGCTTTAATACCATTGATATTTATTTACACTTTTTTTCTACAATTGATCTTCCTGAGTTAACTTCAGTAATTACTTCCTCCAAACCATCAACGTGTCTTTTAGACCCCATTCCTACAAAACTGCTCAAAGAAGTCCTGCCATTAATTAATTCTTCGATCTTAAATATGATCAACCTATCTCTAATAATCGGCTATGTACCACAGGCCTTCAAGCTGCTGTAGTTAAACCTTTACTCAAAAAGCCATCTCTAGACCCAGCAGTCTTAGCTAATTATAGGCCAATCTCCAACCTTCCTTTCATATCAAAAATCCTTGAAAGAGTAGTTTTCAAACAGCTAACAGATCATCTGCAGAGGAATGGTTTATTTGAAGAGTTTCAGTCAGGTTTCAGAGCTCATCACAGCACAGAAACAGCTTTAGTGAAGGTTACAAATGATCTTCTTATGGCCTCTGACAGTGGACTCATCTCTGTCTGTCTGTGACCTCAGTGCAGCGTTCGATACTGTCGACCATAATATGTCAACGTGATTAGAGCATGCTGTCAGTATTAAAGGCACCTCACTGCAGTGGTTTGAATCATATCTGTCTAATAGACTCTAATTTGTTCATGTAAATGGAGAGTACTCTTAACACACTAAGGTTAATTGTGGAATTACAATGGTTTCCTAACTAGGACCAATTTTGTTTCTGTTATACATGCTTCCTTTAGGCAGTATCATTAGAAGGAATAGGATACAGTTTCACTGCTATGCATCTGATACCCAACTTTATCTGTCCATGAAGCCTGATAACACGCACCAAATGCAGCAATGTCTTAAAGACATAAATTACCTCAAATTTTCTGCTTTTAAATTCAGATAAAGTTGTAGTTTTTGTACTCCACACTGACAGTCTTAGAAATACAGTATCTAACCAGATGTTAACTTTGTGTAGCATTAACTTGGCCTCCAGTAACACTACGAAGAATCTTTGATCAGAATATGCACATATTAAAAAAATACGTAGGACTGCTTTCTTCAATTTTATCATCTTATCCATTCTTTCACCCTTAAAATAATCTCTAAACTTTTAACCTCTCATTCTCTTCCAACTTTTTTTCTTTTGCTTTTCCTTCTTTTTTTCTTTCTTAACCAAGTCCTATTTTGGTAGTCTCTTTTTTGTTTTCTTTGGTATAAATATAAATAACCTTTAAGTGAGTGTAATTGCAACCCAAAGATTTTGATCTCCATGAGAGCCCTTCTCTATCGTTCTTTTGTTTCTTTGTTTAAAGTTTTAGCTCAGTGGTATTTTAGAATGTGTATCTAGATACCACTGTTATCTTTAAACTAGACATTATGCATTGCATGTTTAAAGACTACTCTGTCAGAAGAGAGCATCCTTAGCATATGACTTCTACTGTGAGTGTGTGTCTATTTGTGTGGTCTCCTTGCTTTCAGGCGTTTAGAACAAGTCATTCAAAGTGGTACAGAACACACACACACTAACGCATTCACTCAGTTTGGCAAGTCTGTAGTGTATGTGTATGGGCGTCTTTCTTCTGCATCCTGCTCAGTGGTCACTTACCACACACACTCCACCACCACATCAACATGATGGTTATATAACTTTTGATGTCATCTCCACTGATGTTCCACTGAGTTTTAGTGGAATATTCCTGCTCAGAATTTATGCATTTGAAATCAGCTTGGACTTAATGTCATTCACTTATCTTTAACGTTTTTCAAACAATTTTTTTTTCTAAATTTCATTTCTTTCTTGTTACAACTTTGCTGTGCACACACATACTTTTTTTCAGCTGGTAAGACTGTAGAGCAGAGATAAAGAGCTGGCTGAAACAGCGGCAGTGAGCAGTGCATCACCCTGTTTGTACCCATGTGTGTTTCTCTAACATGTAGCAGGTCTGATGTGTGTCCTGAGCATTTCCAGTTTGAAGTTCAACAGCATCTGGTCCAGGGTTTATTTTCCATCCTGTGTTCCTTCCAGTGGCTCTGCTGCTTCCAGGAAAATTTAATCATACCTCACAAATAATGCCCACAACAGGATACAGAGGCACACAGAGAAGGAGAAAAGTCAATGACACTGAAAAACATTTGAATCGTTTTATTATAAATGTACAAACTCCTAGTTAAGCAGTCAAAATTCTTGCCCTTGTCCTATTTTGGTTGTAAAAAAAAAATACCCAGACAAGTTAAAAATTATTTTACCACTTCTATCAACAATGGGAAATACATTAAAAGGACAAACAATAAAAAATTTTATCACAAAGAAAGTAACAGGCAATTACTTCAATACAAAATCTGAAAAAAAAGCCCCCACTGGTTATACTGGTTACATGGGGCATATCATATGCAAATCTGCTTTTATTAAGCAAAGAATTTGAAAAACTGTATTTGCTGTATTTGAGGCTGATTTGTGTAATTTTGACTCTGTGTAGATTAAAGAAAGTTCAAAATAAATTTAAACTTGTTGACCTATTTCTTGTTTTTTGTCTCTTTTAAGTCATTAAAGATGTATGTTGTACAATCATTCCACTCTGTAAAAAGAGCAGTTCAAAGACATCTTGAAAGGCCCCAAATTACCATAACATTCATGGTCATTATGAGTAAATATAAACCTCTGCCCAACTTACAGTCCCTTACTGTTTCCACATCCACTATAACCAAAACAATTGTTGCTTTTGATAAATCATTTTGCCCGGAAAAGGTTATAAGACCATTTCCAAACAAAATGAAGTCACTCTACGGTGAGAAAGATTATTGATGTGGAAAATATTCAAGACATTTGCCAATTGTCCCAGGAGTTAACATCCCAGCAATTCCCCCTAAGGTCAGATCATACAGTGCTCAGAGAAATTGCAACCAAAGAGCTACATCTCAGAATCTACAAGTCCTAATTAGTATGTTAAATGTTACAGTTCATGACAGTGAAATAAGAAAACAATTGAACTAGTATGGATTGTTTGAAACACTGCTGCCAGGAAAAAGTATCTTCTTCTTCATGTCACCCAAGATACAATACAATTCTGCTTTTCTTGTCTGCAAGTGCTGTGTCCGACAGTTACTGACTTAAGTGCGTGCACATCAGAGCAGCAACCCAGTGACCACACAGTGTTTAATTTATCCACAGTCTTTTCGAAACAAAACACAGACGGAATATCTGTTCAGTTTTCGTATTTCTTCCATCCTCGGCTTTGTTTTGACTCACTGGACAAACTAAATTGCCAAATATTCATCTAACCATCTGCCCATTATTCTAAATAAGCAAAAATGACATCATACATCATCTGATGACCATTATCCCATGAGTACAGTTTCTTGTCCAGTGGACAATAAGCCAGCTGGGAGTTATGTGCATGCATGTTTGTGAATGCCAGGCTTGGCACTGTGTGCGTAAGCGTGTGAGTGTCAAATGCGTAGGTCACGTTTGCATAGCGACGCTCCATACTATCCACTGCATAAAGCACACCACATACCAAGAAGCTGTTACCGTAACGACCTCTTCTGAGACCTGTGCGAAAGGTCTGTATTGGCTGAAGGTCTCGAGGGTGGAGGTGGATTAGCAGGATAACTTCCTGGTGGAAGCCCTCTGTGTCCAAAGCAGGGTAAAGCAGCCACAGGCCGGACTCATCTACCGCAAACTCAACCTGCAAAATACACAAGCTCAAGTTTGTATGACTTTTGCATCTTAAAATAATTTTAGACTGCAATCTTTCAGGTTGTTGTTTTGGTTTTAGAACCTAGAATTTTACTGATCTATTCATTCCCACTGCAGTTATTCATCTGCAGCAGGCAGCTGTTTACATACTGTTCTTAGCTCTCCAGACAGCAGATTAAGGTAGATTAAGGTAGTCCTTGCTGGTGGAGATCAAAAACAGATTTAGAGAATCTTTAAAGAGATTTTAAAGAGTTTAAAGAGAGCCGGCCTGCCTGACTTTTTTTTCTAACTACAGTTGAGGCCAAAATTATTAGCCCCCCAGGAATTTTGGAACATTTTGCTAAACTTTTGCCCAACGTTTGCAGCATTGATGAAACTTGATACATTCAAACATTCACCAGTGCGATTTAGTAGCTTTCAGTACATTTTGTAATATAAAATACCTTTTTAGGTTTGCTTCATATCAAATATAATAAAAAATGGGGAGGTCAAAAATATTAGCCCTATGTGAATGTTTGCTTTCAAAACACCTAGAGTAATTAACCAGTCAGCTTTGAAACCACATCTGTGCAGTCAACTGGCTTCCTAACAACATTCAATTGGCATAAAAAGGGTTCAAGGAACAGGGCATTTGAACACATGAGAGGAACTACTGTTACTGGCCATGCCAAAGATAAAGGAAATAATTCTGGAGCTCGGAAAAAAAGATAGTAGAGGCTCATGATAAGGGGGAAGGCTACATGCCATTTCCAAGCAATTCACAGTGTCTAGAACTGCTGTATGTTGCATCATTGCCAAGTCCAAGGAGACAAATTCTGTAAGAAACAAACCTGGCCGTGGCCGTAAGTTCAAGATTTCAAGAATCCTGGAGACGAAAATAGACACAGATGTCAGCAAGGAACCGCGGACACCTGCCAAGACGATTGTTACTGACCTGGCCTCTTCTGGAGTTGATGTTTCAAGGAACACAGTTGTGACGGCTATTTATCATAGTGAACTTCAGGGGCATCATCCCAGAAGAACACCTTTACTCAAAGAGCTGCACATCACAGCCCGACTGAGGTTTGCCAATGAACATTTGTAAGGTAAAGATCAGTTTTGGAAGTGCTTTGATCTGATGAGACTAAACTGGAACTGTTTCAGCACATAGTTGTTGCTTATGTTTGGCAAAGAAAGGCACAGGCCTTCAACCCCAGGAACACAGTTGGGAACATCCTGCTGTGAGGCTGTTTTCAGGCACAGGGAGCCTTGTTTGGTTGCATGGCATCATGAAAAAATAAATTATGCTGACATTTTGAAAGAGAAAATGCAGAAATCCGCTCATAGTCTCGGCTTAGGTTGTCGCTGGGTCTTCCAACAAGGCAATGACCCAAAGCATACATCAACATTAGTCCAACAGTTCCTCAAAGATACCAAAACCAAGATCCTGGAGTGGCCCGCACAGAGCACAGACCTCAATCCTATTGAGAAGCTGTGGCAAGTGCTCCAAGTGAATGTCCATGCTTGGAAACCATTCAATTTGGATGAGCTAGAACAATTTGCAATGGAGGAATGGGCCAAAATCCCTCAGAAGACCTGTGCAAACCTAGTAATGACCTACTCTAAGAAATTGTTGTCAGTTGTGGCTCAGAAAGGGTACAGTATATGACTATTAATGGCCATGGGGCTAATAATTTTGGATGTCTCATTTTTGCCCTTTCTTGTTTTAATTTGGTGTATCAATAAAATATCCTAATTAACCTTATTGGACATTGTTGTTTTGGAAACAGATACACTATACAAAACAGAGACTTGTTGTTAATGGTCATTTTCACACTAAAATCGCACACACACATATAAACATCCACATTCCAACGTATACACATCCACATTCCAATGTAAGGAACATACACCCACTGATGTATATAAATAAAGACCAGGGCAGTGGCAGAGCGCGAGTGCCTGAGCCCTCACTCCTGTGCGGGTGCTCTGTGACTGCCCTTGCTGCAAGTAAAACTGTGTGTTTCTCCTCTCTGATTCTCAGCTGAAGAAGTGTCTTAGAATACATCTCTTGACAGAAACAAACCACAAAAGTGATCAGTTTAGTAATTTATAATGTTCCCACACATAATTTTAATGATGCTTCTAAATGTTCTTGTTTAAATCATTATGGAGTACTTCTTGGGCCGTTATTTAAAAATGAAAGTAATGAGTCTTACTTCAGTCTGTGTCTTGTGAATTTGCTCCTCCAGTAAAGCATCGTGCAGTGTGGTCCACGCAGCCACATATCTGTGCCTCAGGTCATATCTGATAACGTCCCTGCTGAAGGCTCGATTATAGTAGAAAGCTCCATTAAACACAACATGGCCTGTTCCAGTGAAACTGTAAGGTAGCTTGTATGAATTACTTGTCTGACCTGAACAGGAAGGACACACAGAAAATAGATATGCACAACCTTAATGATCATCAAACTAAGATATGTCCATCATGTAGAGAAAATATTTTACTGCAACTGATTGATTGATTGATTGATTGATTGATTGATTGATTGATTGATTGATTGATTGATTGATTGATCATACTTTATTCATCCCGAGGGAAATTGGGTTAATAAACATTGCAACGATTTTTACCTTAATTAATAACAGTATTTCAAATGGTTAAAAATTTATTTTGTTTTCTAATAACACTAATGTTGAGACTAGATTATTTTTGTTTATAATGTTATGCAATAAATCAGACTGTATTTTATATTTCATATTTGGTTTCACAATTATCCTCTCATTTGTACTGTCTTATAATTAAAAGACCCGCCTCCACACCCTTTAAAAAAACAACAACTTGTTTCCAGGCTGTGGATGATCTTTGTCTTTGTCAAGAAATTTTTTTAAACTATTCCAGCTTTTTAGAAACATCTTGGTTTCAAGCATCCAATGAAGAACAACAAATATGATTTTTGTCAAAGCCTTGTGATTAAGTAATCGTCATTAGGATATTGAGCTAAGTAATTGTCATTGTAAAATTTCCCCAAATTGAGAAGCCTTATTTTCTAAGGCAAAAAATCCCTGCAATATCCAGGAGAAGACAAATATTACATGCTCGTGCATCAAAATGATGTTCAGGCTAACTTTTCATCCAGATGCAAAGGCGAAGGCAGTTTTACATCACTGCAAAGGGACAGCTATGGTAGATGAATGCCCTTTCCTGAGCCTGGTTCTGCTGGAGGCCCCTTCTTGTTAAAATGGTGTTCTTCCTTCCCACCATGACCAAATACTAGCTCATAATGAGCCGTATGCTCATCAGGGTTCTCTCTAATAGTGTTACATGGGCCTTTCCTTACAACATGAAGCACTTGGAACAACTGTTGTTATCCACTGGCACTACACAAATAACCATTAATTTAAACTATTTTTACGTACTTTATGAAACCTCATTTAAAATGAAATTGGCAACCAAGATTTAGAGGATTAAATATAAAGATCATTTGATTGTTAAGTATCTAAACTTTAACTCCTAGACCTGGTAATATTGAAACACAGGTGCTAAAATGAATTTCACAAGTGTATAGCATTTTACCATACTCATGTTCAGCTTGAAATGGCCTGTAAATGGCCTGTATTTATATAGCGCTTTACTAGTCCCTAAGGACCCCAAAGCGCTTTACATATCCAGTCATCCACCCATTCACACACTGGTGATGGCAAGCTACATTGTAGCCACAGCCACCCTGGGGCGCACTGACAGAGGCGAGGCTGCCGGACACTGGCGCCACCGGGCCCTCTGACCACCACCAGTAGGCAACGGGTGAAGTGTCTTGCCCAAGGACACAACGACCGAGACTGTCCAAGCCGGGGCTCGAACCGGCAACCTTCCGATTACAAGGCAAACTCCCAACTCTTGAGCCACAAAAAGTAGTATATAAAGGGTAAAAGCCATCTACTTATGAGGAAGGCTTCACATAATAGCTTGAAGGACCTGATTCTAATCCATGAATATTTTTCTAACACATCCATTGTGTGTGAAATATTGTTTCCTGTTTTTCTGGTTTTTTACTTTTACGGATCTTCATGTCATTGTTTGTTCTGTCGTTCAAATATGAAATGCATTTGCCAGTGGAATCTGTTCTGATTGCTAAAACATTGAACATAGAACTTTTATGAGATTAATTAGGGTACCTGACACTGTTTGAGATTAGAAGATAATTTTTTTCACAAACACAAACCTCTGTACCTAATTTGAAGGTGTCCATGTCTCGGAACTCCAGTAGGTTGTTGCCATAGTGACCACTAGTGAGGTAGATGACGTTCCCATGACCACGAGCATCTCTCATCCAGGCTCCATCACTAAGGCCATAAGTATTTTTCTGGACCGGTTCAGAGATGCTGGCTACTGTGTCCTTACACACTCCTGTAAAAATACACATTAGGTGTCAGCAAGGATACACCTACTACCAGATGAGGTATTACAATATGCCGATCAGCCAAAATCCTATAATTACATCTTTCTAGTAATTATTTTGTCTGTCTAATATCTATAAGACTAAACAGTTATGTTGAAAAGGGAAACTGTTGATAGAGACCAAGACCACATTTTTTATCAGGCTGGGAAGCTGAAACTGAAGGCATTTTAACACAGGATTTTGTGAGATCTCCCTCAAGTGGCCACTGGAGCCCTGGAGGTTACCATTTCATTTTTATGAAATAATCAACATTATTAGCTTCATATGGAAATGAATAGGTTCATTAGTCTTACTCTACCTGGCTTTTTGGTAACCATTGGTTGGTCAGCGGGGCTCTCTGTCCAGCTGAGGCGGCTTTTGGTTCTTGAATGAGGCGCTGAGGTGGGAGCTGCACCAATAGGTGGAGTGATATTGGTGTCTGAGGGTGAAGTGGTATACTGGCTGACAGGCGCAGTGGGGTGAATAGCAGTTCTGGTAGTTAAGGATTTTTGGGTAGTTGCCGTTGGCTTTGGAGTTGTTGTGGAGGAGCGAACTGGTTGGGTTGCAGTTATGGTTTGTTGGCTGGTAGATGGGGGAGCTGTTGGTGGATGGGATGGTGAAGAACTGGTCAAAGGTATGTCTTTGGGGTCTGGCTTTATGGTAGTTTTTGAAGGCCTGTTAGGTGGCAGCTGCTCAGACACCTGCAAATCCACTGATGATTTTGTGGTTACAGAAGCTACAAGACAAGATAAAAGAAGAAAGGGCTTTTCTCTGTAATTTTTAAAATAAATTTTACCTTTGATTAAATTAAAAAAGCCTTTAGCACATAACTTGAAAGCATTGATTTTACAGATCAATGCAATAGACTTACTGTTCTGTGCTTTGCCTTTCTTATCCTCCTTGTAGCTCTCTTCCTCTGCCTTGTAAAAGGTCACACCCCTGATGACAACAGTGTTTTTGTCTTTCATTTGCTGCTTTGGCTCTGTCTTCTCTTTGATCGTCTTTCGTGTTTCTGTCTGATTCCTGATTGGGTTCTGTTCCTCCACACCATCTTGCTGGTGGTTTGTCTTCAGCTGGCTGTCATAATTCTTCTGTAAGAGAAAATTCAGTCTCATTTATAATGAAGAGGGACTATCTATGCACGATAGCAATCTTCTAGAAGAGTGCACAGCATAAAATCAGACAAGAGTTTGTCTTGGCTTGTGATCTGTTAAGACACAGATTTTTCACAAGGTTTTTACCTGCTTGTGGGCGTAGGGAGCTGCTCCACTTTTAACTCTTGAGCGCTCATCATTCAGTTTCTTTTTTTTCGGCTGGATCTTTTTTTCTTTATCCTTTTCCCTCGCTCTTTCCTTTACACGTTCTTTCTCTCTCATTCTTTCAGTCAAATTTTGTGTGAATGCCTTGAGTTCAGAAAAAGACACATGCAGGGTCAACCAACTATTTCAGATGACATCACTTTGCACTTGGATTGAAGTTTTAGTTTTTATAATTTGCATAGAATATACAAATATATATTTTTAGAAGTCTGGATATTCAATTCAATTTTATTTATACAGCGCCAAATCACAACAGTCGCCTCAAGACGACTATCTTACAATCTATTATTGTAAGGTAGACCCTACAATAATAGATACAGAGAAAAACCCAACAATCATGTTGGTGGATGGGATGGTGAAGAACTGGTCAAAGGTATGTCTTTGTCATATGAGCAAGCACTTTAGCGACAGTGGGAAGGAAAAACTCCCTTTTAACAGGAAGAAACCTCCGGCAGAACCGCTCAGGGAGGGGCGGGGCCATCTGCTGCCACTGGTTGGGGAGAGAAAAGTAAGACAGGATAAAAAGCATGCTGTGGAAGAGAGCCGGAGATTAATAACAGGTATGATTCAGTGCGGAGAGGTCTATTAAAACATAGTGAGTGAGAAAGGTGACTGAAGAAGAAATACTTAATGCATCATGGGAAACCACCAGCAGCCTACACCTATTGCAGCATAACTAAAGGAGGATTCAGGGTCACCTAATCCAGCACTAACTATATGCATATCAAAAAGGAAAATTTTAAGCCTAATCTTAAAAGTGGAGGGAGTGTGAGTATGAATGGTTATCTGTCTCTCTGGTTCAGTCCTGTGTACCCTGCCTCTGACCCTAAACAAAATCACAGAAATATTTCTTTAAGAGTAAAACTTCTATGGCTTAAAGACAATACCAACTATATTTTTTTTTTCAATTAATTGTAAAAAATAAGCTATTCCAGTATTGCAGTACAGCCATCCATGTAGGGGTATCATATTTCAACGAAATGTCCAACAATCATATTTCTGATATTTTTTTTAAAAAATGAATACATTTTGTTGATTTTTGCGGCTCACAGATAACAAACTTTACAAGTGTAAGTGAGTGACGGGCATTTGCCATCCTTCTTTTCCAGTGAACTACTTGCAGCATTATAGTACAATAGTAGTGACACAGTCAAATGTAAACGCAAAAGTAGCCAACGTGTTTTCCTTGTAAATTTTAAGTAAAGGGAAGTTGCATCTTAGGTTGAGCCTTTTGAACTGCTATTTAAGGCCCTCGTTTTACCACCATGTAAACTGTGAGTAATTTTCATCCACTGTTTGCTTTTCCTTTTGTTATATTGAGAGCAGTTAAGTGCAAGTGCTCCACCAATGTTTGGTGGAGTCATTTGTTTTATTTTTTGGTCGCACATTGGTGATGTGTTTTTGCCTTAAGTAGGGTTTGTTGCTTCCACCTTTAGAAAGGCAGTCACGTCCGGGCTTGTCTCATTTTTGCGGGCACTTTGGAATGTAAATGCTTGACCGTGCTATATCGTTGCTACAACAATGTCAAGAGTTTAGAGCACATAACTGGTATACTAGTATTGCCCTAAAGTATATGATATGGCACAGTTTAACATCCAAGCACAGTCAAAGAGCAAGCTGACAGAGGATATGAAGAAGCCAAAGTGTTTAGTTTTACCATTTGTTTGTGTTAGCAGGTCTGTCTACCTTTGCAAAGCTTCTGCATTAAAAAATATATACATGCTCTACATTAGAGTATGTACTGTATACAAACTGTCAGTTTTGATTTTTAATAGGTGTTTTTTGGACAACATGTACTCACCTTCTCTATGTTGTCCACCCTGGTCAGTAGCTTGGTGGTAACAGAATGGAGCTTTAACAAGTCCATTCCATACAGAGAGACTTCCAACAAGTCAATGATAGTTGCCAGCTAAACAAAATCAAGAAATTGTTTTTTTTATTATTATTATTAGTTAAACATCTTCCTGCTCAAAACTAACTTAACAGTGTATCATCAGTAACCAGAACACATGTATATGTTTCTACCTTGATGTCATCTTTGCTCGCTTCCTGTAGTTTTTTAAACCTGTACTCTCCCTCGCAGGGATTGACAGCGGAAGGTGGAGCCATGCACACACACTTCTTGCAGTCTGTTCCTTTGGTAATTGTCTCTACAGTGTAAAAATCCTGAGATGGTGATTTTAGGTCACTTTCATGGACATGGCTGCAGTCGGATCGCTTGATTGGTCGAACAACACAGCGACACACACAGTCGGACCCTGAAGACACTGTTTTTACTTTGTCATAATCTCCCAGCAACTGAAACAGAGACAGAAAGTTGTCTTTCTCAGTATATTTTTTCCACAATATAGGCCAGATAGCAGGAAACCTGAATAAATAGTGAATGTAAAATTGATAGTATATTATACTATACTTATATTATAATTTATTTAGCAGATGTGCAGGAACTAAAATCAGAAAAAGAGTTGAAATGTCTGACGATATGCAGCTGCAACAGTGGTGAGCTGTGTGGAATGAAGACAGCTATAGGCATTTACAAACAGGCCCTCTTTGGTTTGGACCACTTACAGTTTGAGGATATTACATAACCAACCACCAGGGGGATGCAAACTTTTACCATAGTGTACACACACACACACACACACACACACACACACACACACACACACACACACACACACACACACAGCTCTGGGCTTGATTTACCATGACAGTATGAGGTAAAAGGAAATTTCCCGTATAGTTAAACTTTTGGAATCGCTGTGTCAGAAACAACCCCTGAAATCCAACTCAAGATGGAAAACGAGAGGTTCAGGGTTCACTGTTTAAAGCAAAGTAAGTCCTAACAGCACAAGTGCTGTGGGATCTCATGTGGTTTTCCCTTGATGAGATAGATGGAAAGTTTTGCTGAGGTACTAACTGCTGTTACTCATTTGAAGTCTCCTGGAAGAAGAATTAAGCAGGTCACAGGTCATGGATTGAAATTTTAGTTTTTATAATTTGCATAGAAGAGCATGGCTTTGCAGAACTTTACTTCAGTTCAGTCAAATGTAAAAATAGGTCAAACAGGACATCATCTTGTGCTTTTAACTTTTAAAACGTTTTAAATTTGATAACTGCCTTAATTATTAAAACTAGGAATTTCTGTTCTCCCAACTCATTCGCAGTATGTGAATATACATAAACTTCTTTGTCAGTGTAGTTTAACATAGAATACAATTAATCATAAAAAGGCGCACATTATAGTTCACAAACCTGGCTTATTATATTCTCTTGGTTTTCCAGCTCGTCCTCCAGAGGCTCGACGGTGGGTTGGAACTGTGGAACTCTCCCCTGAGTGGCTTTCTCCGGGAACTGGTGACTACCCTCTGCTTTGCTTGTGGAGTTGGCATCTTTAATCGGCCTCAGCTCGTCGGTTTCAGCTAGCAGCATCTTCTCCCGAATGCTTCCGTCCACCGCCAGGCTTCTTACAGCACAGCAGAAAATCAGCAGTGAAAGTCCGCGCCACATTTCTGCACAGCAGCTAAGGATAAGAAGCACTCTGTGTACAAACTAGTCTTTATCAGGTAGTTGTAGCCAAAAATTGCGGAGCAAGTACGAATGAATAAACACCCACGCATCAAATGGTGCAGTAAATTACTTCACTAGAAAGTAGGCTTATTGTCCTTGCGAGCGGGTAAAAACGAGTCCATAAAACGGTTTAGCTTGAAAAAAAAAAAGTACTCAAACTTAAAAAAGAAAGAAAGATCTCGTGTACTTGTTTTTTTTTATGAAGACTCGTATTAAAATAATTGTTGTAAAAGAAACGAATTAAAAGCTAAAATAATAATAATAATTTTTAAAAAAGGTTGCTTTAACTCGGGTCAGTGTGACGTGTCGCCGGTGAGCTGGGTGGCACCGACGGACCTCAACACCGGCCCCAATCAGAACTGGACTAACTGCGCTCGAGCCTGAGCCTGAAGTGGGAGTGGGACAGATGGGCGGGGAGGGAGAGGGGAGAGAGAGAGAGCAGAATGGCTCCAGGTTGAACACTTAACATTACACACAGCTTACTGCAGCTTGCCAGCCAATCAAAGTAGCCTAACTGGGCACTGCAAAGGTCCCGAGCGGTTTATCATGTCACAACTGTTTTTGCTTTACCAGTAAACCTCACGGTATGTTCACGTTTAATAAGGTTCCCATTAAAACCGATGTCAAACAATTTTCTTACTATTAATGTCTCGAAATATACCACAAGGTATTTAGTTTAACCAGAATATCTGAAAACGGATCCTGCTTATTGTAACAAAAACTATTAGAAATATAGAGACTTTTTTCAAATTATATTTTAATATTTATATAAAAATGCGTCATATCGTATATGAAAAATTATACAAACAAGTTAAACTATTGTATCATTCCTAACTCTTTGTGTCTTTCATAAACACATGGCCATTAGAATGTCATCAAATATACACCCATCCGTTCACTTCCGCTTATCCATTTCAGGGTTGTGAGTTGGACTCACGAAAATGATGTGCATGATGAAAAGGCACTTTCGCTGTAGTAGGGAATTGTGCTTTTTGTGATTGTCTTCCATGTACATGCTGTTCAATGATGTTCATATTAAGTATGGACAAAATTTTAGGTCAGTGTTTGAAAAAGTAACCCCTATGAGCCACAAACTCATAAGACTGCAAACAAACTCTAAGTGTTCTGTACAAAAACCCAGTTATAAAGTACACCAAAAGCTGAAAGTTATGTTTTGTTGTGTTAGCTAAATATTGTGAAAATCACAGTGGTCATTAAAATGTGTTTAGAATTTGCAAATTGATGATGATTTATCTAAAAAATCATGTTGTCGCCTACATAAGCTGCCTTTATAGGTTGACGGTATTGGAATTGATTAAACTGGTCCTGTGTTTACTCCTTGTCAGAGTGTGAATAGCCTAGCTCTGGCTGAGCATAGAAGCCCCACCCTGGCTGAGCATAGAAGCCCCACCCATTTGATTTAAAAGAGGAGCTTGTTTCAGACACTCTGCAACAAAGCCGGTAAAAGATGAAGAAGTTTATTTTTTAAAAGCTACTCCTTCACTGTCCAAGAATAAAGCCAAATTGAACTTTAAATAAACATAATACAAAATATAATCTTTAAGAGATTTAGTTAAATTTGCTATTATCTGGAAACTGTATATTTTGAAATGTAGAAGGTTAGGGTCTAGACTTTCATTGGTTGCTACAAAGGTACTTTTTTCATCTTAGTATATAAGGTTGACTTCAAAGTTTTACAGATTCAGCAGAGTTGAGAAAGGTTTAAATAATTATTACTTAAATAAGTTCATTTTTCCATTTGCCGTCTTGTTCTTTTGGTCACTACCCACAGTTCTAGCTCAGAGGTGGGGGCAGGAACATAGACTGATTAATAACGATCTCTCCGTGAACTGCCACAGATAACCCAAAGATGAGGGACTAAATGCTTGTTATCTTTTCTAACTTGTTCAATAAATGCATCACATAAAAAAATACTTATGTTGTTAGGTAAGGGTATTATGTTAAACATGTCACTCTTGTGCATACCAGCAGATGGCCTTGCAAGGATGGCTGTGACACTTGGGTACAACGTTAAAGTTGGTAGGGGCCGCAGTGACAGATTCCACCTCACATTTTGCTGGCCCCGCCCCACCTCACCACACACTGACTCACAGAGCACAGAGGAAATGAGTTGAGCAAAAGCCTCTTGACACATCAGAGCAGCTCATTCAGTTGACATGTGTTTCCTATGTGTGTTGTGCACAGATCCTTAAATAACCCCAGTCACCTGTTCTTAACAACCTTCAAAAGAAAGAAAGTAGACATCATGGGAGCATCTTCCTCTGGCTTGCTGGATGAGGCCAAAATCAGCTACATCAAAGGTAACTAACAAATCACTTTTCTTTTTCAGAGCAGCTCAGAAAAACTTGAATGTCAGTTTTCTAATCCTGAGAAATAGAAGGGAGAGAGTAAAAGTGAAACAGAACCTATAAATGTATGGGCACAATGATAGCAGCTACTTTGGCTTTGTAGTAGTCAAAGTAGTAGCAGTAATAAAAGCAATAGATGTGGTTATTGCAGCTGTATCAATGTAAATTTAAAAATAAACCAAACTGCTACTTTTGTTCGATTGCTTTTAGACAGCATAAATATATTTTTATTAGTCTTCTAGTTGCTAACTTTTAGCAAAAGGCTGACAGGAAACCTGGTTAGGGGTGCGGTGTGTTACAAGGGTCCCCGGAATAATGGGTTGACTGGGGAAATTGCGGTTATTTTGGGCTGGGTACCTTAGCTTGGTGGTCAACCAAGCTAAGAGTGTGACAGTAACCAAGCAAAGGACATTATGCTTTAAAGTCTAATTAAATTATATCTATTTTAATGAATATTTTAACTTTAATAGAAAAAAGTAACAAAACTGATGTCCTCTGTAAATGTTTTTGCTTATTTCTCCATGTGTACATTCCTATACATGTTATCAGCACAGTCACATCCTGTCACTAATCTCCCTTGCAAACTCAAATGTAATTACAGCTATTTCCAACTATTATATTATTATGGGTTGTCAGATCTCTGTCTATCTATGTGTGTCAGTATGTAAGATGAAAGTCAGGCTGGATAGTGGTCTCATACTGTAAACAAATGATTATGATCAATCTACACTGAAGACACCGGATTAAAAACCCGGAACCACAGTCAAAACCCACTTACACACCAGCGTACACAAGCAGGACTTTTATTAAATTCGGCCACATGACAAATTACTTCACACCTGCACACTGTGGTATTGTTTATATTTGGCCTTTGTATATGTGTGAGGTAGTTGATATATCCTCTCACCCTTTTCAGACATGTACATTATTTCTTCAAATATGCCTGTCTTGTTTTACCTCTCCAAAATTACTTTTTACTTACCATTTATTACTGTTGTTTTTTTTTCCGCCGCCTGTCCCGTTTGGTTCTTTCGCCATCAGAATTATTGTCTGAAGGCCAAGAAAGATGCCCAACGGATTTACTATACCAAGTGGACCATCCCAGCCTTGCCGTATTGGTCCATTTCATTATTATAATATTTAGCACAGAACATATTATATATATATATATATTATATATATATATATAATATGTATATATATATATATATATTATATATATATATATATATATATATATATGTAGATAGATCGTAATCTATGAGTATATAACAGTAAATATAAATATTGAATATTATTGTGCAGCTTTAAGTGTTTTGTTAACTGCGTTAAATTTAAAAAAAATCTCCCTGGAGTCCAGTGCTAGGGCAATTTCTATACCTTACCTTACGGTTGTAAGTTTTTTGCTCAAAACATTAAAAAAAGGTTAGGGATGACTATCAAAACAGTGAGCTGACAGAGATATTGGAGTTATGTCAGCCTGATGTCTTAGTGGTCACACTGCTTTCCCATAAAAGTCACAATGAGAGACTTGCTGGGCTGGATTTGAATGGTGAATCGCCTTGTAACCATTTACAGCCATTCATGCAGTGCTGTGTTCTATGCCTTTAAGTGCTATCTAACTACAATGACATTCTCACCTGTGACCCTTTAACTCACGTAGTTATATTAATAAACGAGCATGCACAACATTATAATTCCACATGTATCTTGTGCATTTTATGCTCAGCTCAATAACATCAGGATTATTTTCAACAATATGTATATAACAGTGTGGTGTCTCGCTAACTCTTAATGAAATTTAAAATAACACTTACATTTGGTCCATGCCTGAATGTCAGACAGACTTTAACATGCTGAACAAGCTAGCTAAGTTATGTAGCCCATATCTGAAGCAGGCTATGAAAGACATTGGCCTAGCAATTTAAACATTTGTCAGTATAAAAATATTGACAAGTGCAGCTTTAATATGTACATTTCCATCCTTAAAACTAAATTTACCATTCCCAGTTACTCTGCACTTGCAATGGTTTCCTTCAGTGAAGGGTATGTATAAGTTCAAACACTCGTTTTGAAATTAGTTTTTAATATCATGGAGCTTTTAATATCTGTGTAACAATGCACAGAGAGAGGAAAACTATGCTGATTACTGTTATAAAAGAATACACATGTAAATATGTGTCATTATGAAAAAAATTGTTCTAAACAAGTTTGAGTAACATCAAACATTATAATAATCCCAACAACAAGCTGTGTTTCTGTATGCATCCAGGACTGGTTGATGGTACATTCCAGAGCTTCAGTGACTTTTACCGTCAGCAGTACTCTGTAGCCTACCTTGGACACTTACACCAGGAGGTGGAGCCTAAGAGAGAGGGGAGGGGGTTATTGCTTACACGGAGGGTAAGAGTTAAATCTTTTCAAACTCAATTCGACTACATATATATTTATGCATGTTGATGCAGCTGGAAAATTGGTCTAAATTTCTAATTATGTTAAAGTTTAACCAGTGTGTGCTTGTGTGTTTGTGCACTGTACAGCCTCAGTATGCTCCTGAGGAGGTGCTGTATGAAGGGAGCATTAAGTTCTCCAACTGGGATGAGCAGCTAAAGAAATGCAGAGAGAGATACATAATTCTGCGAAGAGACTACAAAGCAGAGATACATGATAGCATGGAGGTAACACACAGATTAATACGCTCACACACAGCACGTGAAATTTGCAGTCTAAATGATTTGCATCCTGTGATGAACATTGCTATCTGT